AGTAAAGTAACCATCTTTATCTTTGAATTTTATTTGAAACAAACAAACAAAACCCACCCATAAAACAGAAGGACACTACAAAGTCGCTCCAACAACCTATTTTAATGGGTTTTTATATAGAGTACTACAGTGTTGCATGAATTGTGAATCGTGAATTTACACTGTTTTCTGGAATGGGATTAGTAAATTACAGCCTTGTCTTTTTTTGTGTGTTTAATTTTCAGTAAGCTATGATATATTTGTGAAGACTCAGGCTCCCACCCAAAACCTGGTAGTTTTCAAGAGCTACCAGTAAATTTCAAAATCTATCTTAAAAGAACTGAGATTAAGGTTTTAATGACTCTAAAGAGTAAAGCAATAGATCATAAGTGTTCTCTTTTATTTGTGGGGCATTAGACTGTTGCATTAGTGAGAGTTAAAAACTTATTTTTGTGAATCATAGAATGTTTTGGGTTGGAAGAGACCCCTAGAGGTCATCTACTCCAACCCCACAATGCTACTGAAAATAATTCTTTGTAAAAAAATTGTAGCGGGATATACTAATAAGTTCAATAAACAAATGCTCATTTGATATAAGAAAGTTATTTCTATCCATTCTAAATGAAATAGCTATTGACATTCGGCACTGAGAGCTTGTCATTTATGATACAGTGTGCTTAAAGCTGCCTGTTTAATACGGAAAAGGAAAATATTATTGACATTCTCCTCCAAATTCTGGATAGTTAACTAACCCGTAAAAGCGACCACTGCCATACTGGTGCAGCTTCCTGAGGACACTGTGCAGTAACTCAGAGAGAACAAAAGGTGGATCACAAGTCAAGGGAGCGAAGCTGGCCGTGTGTGTACAGTTAAAACAGAAGCCATTCTATATTCGTGTATCAAATTATTAATTACAAATATTAAAAATAGTCTTTTGCCATTTGTCTGTTGCTGAAATAAGTGTTTGGGAGAGGTTGTAGGTGTGGGTTGTTTGGCGTATTTTTGGCCTTTTGGGGGGTTGGGGTTTTTTGTTTGTTTGGTTTTTTTACTGTGCAGTTTTTTGGTGTTTGTTTTGTTTTTTTTTTTTTAACTCTCTTCTCTGTGGATTGAACTTTTCTTATACTTGAATTCATTACCCTCATTACCATTCCTTTATGCTCACGCTTAAATCAATTAGATGTCTCTCCTACTCATTTGCTGTCATCCCAGAAGAGAGGGAAGACTTGCTCTCTTGAGCTGTATTTTTTCTTGTGGAAAGGAAAGCAATTATGTTTCTTAGTCTTTGTCTGTTCCAGACACTATGTTTTCCTTGAAAATATTTTTCCCAAAGAGAGTAAAAAAAAATTTTTTTTCTCTCCTTTGAGTTCTAGTAGGAAATGTCATGCCAGTGATTTCTGTGGGACTATTTTGAGTTCTAACATATAATTAGACACTCTACACTTTGCCTCTGTGAGTTTGTAATGTTTAAGAGAAGTCAGTCAAGATAATCTTTGTTAATAATAATCTCACATATATTTTATAGGTGTGTTATAATAATAATAACGAAGTCTGTTTGTTCTGGAGCTCCTTCATGAATTTTGAAGCCACCGTTAATAACCTGTTTCACATCTGGATTTTAGTGGGGAACAAAAAGGTTCAAATCCTCTGTAGGCCCAAGCTGAGTTACGTTTAAGGCTCATGTACCTTGTTCATTTGAGCAAAAAGATGTGTGCCTCCAAAATGCGCTTCAGCTTCTCCTTTTCAATTGAAATTATTGACACGTGAATGGATAGCACGTGTTGCATGGCCATGTAGTTGACTGTTTGATCAAACTAAGATTTCCTGTTGTAGAACAGCAGTTAAGACGTTTTCAATCAGGCGAGATTAGTGTGATTGAGAATAAGCAGGAGGTGAAAAAGATTATGGGGCCCCAGTGAAATAATAATTTATTATTAATGCTGCAATGCATTGATCAGTTCCGATTTTCATTCTACATATGTGCAGAAGGGAAATATGTCCTGTGGGGCCGGGTGTTTGAGCAGTTCCCTTCGTGGACTGCTGGCAGTTTATATGACAACCCAGGCTGTGGTGTTCAGGATTTCTACTGGCCATTGGGAGGTCTGAGGGGGCCAGCATGGTAGGAAGCAGTCCTTCCACCGTGTGGGGCCAGCGGGGAGTGTGCGTGCATCTTACCATTCCATGGTCTCCTTTCTTCAAGGGCTGCAGATTAAGGCAGAAATTATACTGCCTCATGGCATTGCCTAGTCATTTCACTTCACCTCCTTCTCCCTTTAACAGCGTCCAGTAGCTTTCATTGGGTGGGAACAGCATAAAAGTCTTAAAATATTTACATGGTTCTTCAGTTGTGTTATAACTCATGAGAGTCCCAGTAAATTCTGGATGCAGGTATCCCGCGTGGAGGAGCGGGTGTACCGTGCAGGCTGGAGTGCGGAGGGGCTTGTTCACACTCTAAACGAGCTGAGCTGGTTTAGGTACTAGAATTAATCAGTATGTGGCGGTACGTTGTTCCTTAGAGAACAACTTACCCCATTTCTTGGCAAGATAAAATAGCCTGTGTAAAGCTTCCTGATGTTGCGACTAGAAAAAAGGAAAAACCAGCGTGGGTGGATGTAATGTAAGCACACGGCTTGGCTGAGCACAGAGTCCTTAAAGAGTCTGAAAGCTGCAGAAACACGCTTTAAAACCATGTGGTTTGTGACTGGTCAGCAGCTCTGACAATTTGGATTAATCAGTTATTGTCTTAGGTAAAAAATAACGTTGCTCTTAAGAAATACTCATTCTCCAAAATCATAACTACCCCGTTCTGCTTGCTTCCTGCTACCTGCAGCCATTCTTGCTAGAAGGATATTACAGTGGCAAACCCAGTAAAAATAGTAGTTTTGAAATTGTAGTTTGAAATGTTTCTTTCTAAGTTTGTTTTTGGTTACTGCCGTGCCACGTCAGAAGCTGGTTTATCTGCAGCTCAGAACTCTTAAGAATTTTAAGCAGCTGGCAATTATCTGAAGTAATTATCAAGTAATTATTTAAGACAGAGTAATTTTCAAGGCATGATAGTACATTCTTCTTAGGACATCTTACAAGCAGTTTTTCTTTTAAATAAGCTGTGCGTCACCCATGTTTATTTTTGAAGAGGGAATCTCTACCTTACTGTGCATGAGCCATCAGTATTTGCTGTTAATTATGCTGCTTCTTTGGCATTAATGCCATGATTAACTTTGACTTGGTTTTGTGACTTATGGATGAGCTTAATTTTATATGGCTATTATTTGAAACTCTCTGGTTATAACTGGTATTTTAAGGGTATTTTCAATATGGTAGCAAGGAAAGGCCATAATAAACTGAGGTTAGTGTTTCCTGTATAGGTCTTAATTCTGCTGGACAGACTACAAGCTCTAGGGCAGAAAAGCAGACATCACCAGCTGTGCTGATGGTTTATAGAAGCTCAGTAGTGCAGGACCCTTGCCTTGCTTGAAGCTCCTGAAGTCAGAAGAACCTACTAAAAATAACTGGCATCATTACATAGCATCAGACTGTGCATATGCCTTCCTGGAGAGAGCATCTTTTGGGAGGTGCTTGTTGGGATTCTCCAGTTTCTCTTATGTTTTGATAATGGCTGTAGCCTTCAGTTTGTTGAAAAGTATAGGCTTCTGTGAAAGGTGCATGTCGTTTCCTTGTTTGAGTAAATGTTGTCACTAGATTTTGCTTTTTTTTTTTTTTCCAGCCAGCTCTAGTAATCCAATGATTTTACATTTTCTGAGGGTTTCTGAGTGTTCATAGTGCATGTGTCCTGTTTCATGGGCAGGTAGAGCACAAGTTCTGATGAGGACCTGAGAGCCAAGTCTCTCTGCCCTTGTGTCCTGGTTTCGGCTGGGATAGAGTTAATTTTCTTCATAGTAGCTAGTATAGTGCTGTGTTTTGGATTCAGTACTAGAAGAATGTTGATAACACACTGATGTTTTTAGTTGTTGCCAAGTAGTGCTCAGACTACTCAAAGACTTTTTGACGGCAGGTGGTGAGCAATTGCATTGTGCATCGTTCGTTTTGTATATTCTGTATATTCTCTTACCATTCTCATTTTTACTATTATTATTATTTTCTCTTATTAAACTGTCTTTATCTCAGCCCTCGGCTCTAACCTTTTTTTTCCTTCCCGATTCTCTCCCCCATCCCACTGAGGGCGGGGGGGAGTGAGGGAGCGGCTGCGCGGTGCTTAGTCGCCAGCCAGGTTAAACCACGACACCTTGTCTTTGTGTCAGAGAACATGACAGGATGTCATCTCTGCCCTCTTCCATCTGCTACCCTCCTTTTTTTCCTTCTCCAGCCGTACACCAGATCACATGAGGGGGCAGGCTGGTAGCACGGGATTTACGCTGGGCCTTGTGCTCCTCAGCTGTTACGTAGCTCATTTTCTCGTGCCATGCATGCAATACATTGACTTGAGGGCGAGGCGCTGCACTGTTCCCAGTGTCGTGCTGAGGAAGTGGGAGATGGAGGCAGCTTCCACCTTGTTGGTCATTTGCCTGGTAAATCCGTGCCTAGTCTCTTCCACCTGAGTCGCTGATAATCCAGTGTGTAGGTGCCGCTCTATGAGAACCATCCACTGACATTTCCGTGCAAGCTGTGCAAGATGCATATGCCAAGTAGCAGATATGGAGGGGAAGAGAAAGCGGAGACTGAGCATGCTGGGTTTCATGTTTCTTTAAAAGAAATAACTTTAAATATTTGTGTAAAGCAAGCCAAGCGAGTAAATGTTACATTGCTCTTAAATCTTTCTATTAGTTAATCTATAAAGAGTTGAAAGCAGCTGTTCCAGATGAGTGGTCGCCCACTGATGATGAATAGTTTAACTCACATGGGAAGGCAGTAAAGTCTCAGACAGCATAAACATCTGTAAAAGTAACATACAGACTTCTGCTTTTATCTTGCCTCCTCTCTTGGGGAACTTGAGAGAAATAAAATTGGTTTTCAGTATTCTTTTAAATTTGACTAACAATATTCTTTATTTTTGTTTCTTTGTCTAGGGTATTTATGTAAGGGATGCACCTTTGAAGAACATAAAAGTGTTCAACTTCCGCCGATTTGTAGCTCTTTTTAGTGTGGTAAATGCCACGAAGCGGGACGCTGGCAACTATCGCTGCATGATTCGGACAGAAGGAGGAGTTGGTGTATCAAACTATGCAGAACTGATAGTCAAAGGTACTTCACAATAAAAAAATCGTGCTCAGTGTATGGAATAAGGACTGCAATTGCTAATTGAGTAAGAATGTCACCCATAGCCTGTTAAAGTCGATACGAGGTTCAATAAATAGACTCTGCTTATGTAAATCTTAACAGTCCAGCTGTAACAAGAGAATAGCAGAAGCAGCCAGGGCTAATTAACTAGCTACTTGTTGATTATTGTTTTAAATAATTCCCCAGAATGCACTGTTTAGAACTATATGTCTTTCAGAGTATGTTTACAAGATTTTTTAAGGTATGAACATAATACTAGCTATTTACCTCCTTTATGGAGATTGCATTCTAAAAATATATTTGCTGCAAAATATGAAAGATTTGCATTAAAATGAACACGTAAAATACACATATTCCAACATATAGAGGGATGTTTTTAAAAACAGCAGGAAACATTTAAATGTAAATAGAATGCATACCGCTATGTCCACCCTTATTATAGAAAACTGCACTAAAACAATTTTTTAACATTCATTATATTTAAATTGCATTTTGATTGCTTCTTACTTTTATACTCCTATTTTGGAGGAACAAAATTTTATTTTTGTTCTTTCACAGACAAAACCAGATTCTGTAGCACCTAAGTTGTGGAGCCACATTATTGCGTTATGTTTCTTCCCTTTTGAGTCCATTCTGTGCCTAACAAAGAAGTGAGATGAAGGGCTAAAAGCTCTTTTTCTCTTCTTTTGGAAAACAATTTTATCCAAGTTGGAAAGGAGTGAATGAGTGCCCTAAACCTAAATCCACCACAGGTGTGGAATTTCCCTCTGGGAATTAGGAAGGACACACTTGCATCTATTATGCATCCTCTGATTTCAGAAACAGTATCCTTCGTTGGATAGGACTTTTTCATTTGGGGATAGCATTGGGATTATCATGGATGATACCATTATAGCTGTTCTAATAGAATTAAAGAAACTTATATGCTAATGAGTAACAGGAGTAAGAAATTATTTTTTGTGTCATACCTTCTTGTCACTCTGCTTTCCAAATTTTGCTCTAGGTTTTATCTTTTGGGTTAAGATACAAATTAACATTTCTTATTACTTAGTTGTCTGATTAAAAATCAGAACATATTGCAGTATAAGAGCTTGCATGGTTCTGGTTGCAGACAGCAGGCTGGATAAGGGGCTTTGTTACTAGTTGATCTGGGATTCGCTCTTTCCTTTCTCCTAATCTTTAATTATTTTGGATATTTATAAACCTATATGGGATTTGTCAGGAATTTTTAAAGATGTGATCCTTTTGCTAAAGGCAACTTACATGTAGGGTAATAAGCAAGGTGTGGGATAGCTTTTACATCTGAAAATGTAGCCTGGATGTTGTTTCTGAAGTCAGCACAGAAAGCATGTGTATGAGAGGCTAGCAGTAAAGGAGGGTTTGAAGGACAGGAGGCACAGTGGCCTAAATAAAGAACCAGGCCAAGACATTGAAAAAGCAAATCAAAGTGGGTGCATTTTAGAGAAAATGGAGAGAAGTGGGACAAGACGAGGAGGAGGAGGTTGTGAATAACCACTGTGTGAAGATAACATGAGAAAACAAATTGTAGTATGAAAACTTAGATGAGCTATTTGAACGGACAAATGAAGAAAGAAACAAATAGAGAAGGTGAGATGGGAATATAATTACAAGGCATGATGAAAAAAATGAGGTTATTTCAGTCCAAGCAAAGATATCATGAAAAGGAAATAAAAGGAGTGGCCAAAAATGGAAATGTATGGAAGTCAGCAAAGAGAGCAAGAAAGGGTGGAGTATGAACCCCAACAGGAATGATGAAGCATCTTTCAGACCTAACATGAGTGAAAACGAGAAAGGAGGCTGCCTGAAGGAGGCAGATGGAAGATTGACTACATCAGTGACAGGAGGTACAGAAAACCAAAGAAGTTAGATTTTTTTTTTTTTTCTGTTTCTTTGATTTAGGGTGTTTTAATTTATCAGTGCTCCTTTTACGGTACAGTAGATGAAATTATGAAGCGTATCATTAAAGCATTTCTGCTTACCCAGATTCTTTCAGAAAATTTGCACGGGGCGCTGTGAACAAGTGTATAGCCTTCGGGTGTAATCCCATTAACTACTTGTAGAGTGGTAAAGTAATTATGGTAATCCCCGTTGCCTCTATTGGAGCTTTTATGAGACCACCTGCAGGTCATTCCTTCTGACCTAAAAAGACCCATTTTAAACATTAGATGACTACACTGAAATAGCAGCATTAGGGGCTAATTAGTAAATATGCTTTCTTATTAATGGTGTATAATTAAGAAATTGTATTTCCTGATTTTTTTCAGCAGCTTTTCTGCAATGCTAATTAGCAGAATTCAAAGATAATGGATTGATTTCAGTGCACCTATATCTTTTTTAAATCCATTACCATCGATAAATCATAAGAAAATGTACATTTACCCATATTGCACATAATACTTAGCATACACGGGAATTACTGATGGGTTAATAATAGTATGTGTAGAAACAGTGGTGTAATTTCTCCCTGCTTTTTGTTGGAAACAATGAATCTAATTCTCTTCTCATTTACACTGGTGTAACTAAGCTGACTTAAGAGGAATTTCCCTGGAATTACATTTCTAGGATGACAGGAGAGTCAAACCTAGTGTTTATAAGTTAGAGAGAAAGAGTTCTCCACATTTATTGTGCTCTGTTTCATTCTGGTTACTGAACTTGTAATTCAAGTTGCAGATAAGTAAATCCTGCACCGAAATTCGGAATTTTTCAAAATATCTTTGTTTTCAAGTAGGGACATTTGCAGAGTACAGTGGATTATACCTCCATACGACGTTCATTCTGCTTCATTGTAGATATAGTTACACTAAATAGGAACTTACTCTAAGTAGATTCTAGTTACTTCTTTATGTGAACCTCTTTGAGGTTTGTAGTGCTGCTGTGGCGTGATGTTGTGTGGCACTGGAGACCAGGTACCAGAGCTTTTGAAATCAGCAGAAAGGCCACCGGTGTCAGGTGCTGCAAACCAAACCTGAAATCGCAAAGGAATAGGAATCAAATCTTGAAAGTGAGAAATATGTAAGAAACTGCCAAATGTTCCTTTTTTTTTTTTTCCTTTTTTTTTTTTACCTGAACAGATACAGCTCTAGCAAGGTTTAATTGGGGGGGGGGGGGGCAATTAGAGATTTGTCCATTAATCTGATGTTATCTTATTAAAGAACTGTAAACATGAATATTGTCTAGTTAACGAGCAAAAAAAGCCTGTCAGTGAACAGTTAGTCTGGCCTTAAACAAGGAAAAAAGGGATTTTTCTTTTTTAAAACTTGTTTGTGTTATCTTCTTATATGCCTTTTAGAGGATGGTGAAATAAAGTATTGATTGCTCTATTTAAATAAATCCTGAAGGGGAGGTTTTCAATTTACCCGAGTGTTTGTTCTGATAGGAAAGGCTGAAAAGGCAAGTGCCGTGTCATTGTGTGTGCTCAAACTACACAGTATCCTCATCTAAGTTTGTCAGAGAATTGGATTGAAATGTCACTTTATCTAATGGGAGAGATGAAATTGGCCTTGTCAGATCACCCACTTATTGTAAAAAACAGCAGTTCGTATCTAATAGGTGACATAAAAGTAATCAAACGTTGAGCAAAAGGAAAATAGTGGGGTGGAATTGATTAAATGTATTTGGTGAAGTAAATTAGGCTTCCAGATACAGTCCCTAGGTTGAATTTTTCTAATAGTGGGCAGATCCCACACAGATTAGATTTAGGAGAACAGAATGAGCCTGTCTGAGCAGACATCAGATTATTACAGAGTTCAGACTTCTTATTGAGTTCAAACAAGGTAAACCTAGGTGTCAAATTGGTTAAAAGGAGTTTTGTTAGGTTTTTAAGCAAGGGCATAGAAAGGTAATGCTGGCAGCTTAAATGTCTGCATCTTTCCAAGTGGGAGATTTAATGCCGGGAATAGAACCAAACGTCTCCTGGATCTCTGGAGCAAAGAATTTCTTCTGGTGGGCAAAATCAATTTGAGATCAAGACACAGTAATAAAATATTAAAGATTGTTTATCTCTTGTATCAGTTGTTCTCCTACATTAAGCGTACACAGTTACCTAATGTCTATTTTCCCTCCCTGCCAACTTCATGCTGGATCCATCTGTCTGTCTGTCTGTACCCTTTTTTACAAACAGTAGTGGTATCAGGACTTACTTTTATGGTTGCCTGACAATTCTTACCATGAAGTCCTGCTTTTGGGTGCTCATATTTTGGCAAACTGACTTCAGGCTGATATTTTCCAGTGTGGGTGTGTGCCTCAGCCTGAAGGTTTTGGGAAAACCTCTGGCCAAAACAGTTGAGATAGTTCAGCCATTTTAGCAAACTTGCCACAGGAAAGTGCTGAAGACTCTGGGCTTTGAAGCAGGACTTTTTCTTTTCTTTTTATTTTCCAGTGTGGGTGTGTGCCTCAGCCTGAAGGTTTTGGGAAAACCTCTGGCCAAAACAGTTGAGATAGTTCAGCCATTTTAGCAAACTTGCCACAGGAAAGTGCTGAAGACTCTGGGCTTTGATGCAGGACTTTTTCTTTTCTTTTTTTTTTTTTTTTTTTCAGTAGGGTAATAGCTATGTCAAGAATACTGTTTTTCTATTCTGTGAAAATCCGTTTTCACCGAGACCCCCATTCTGATGTGTACAATGGAGACCTCTCCAAGTTAAACTCTGAAATTCCCCCAAGATTCTAGATACAGTGAATGGAATTTAAATGCAAGCACTGAGCTGAGCTCCTCTGGGACAGGCTGGATCCAGGCACAGGAATCAAAAGCTGTGAGCTTACCGTTCCTGTGCTTTTTAGTATACAGCCCTCCACCTCACTGCGCCCTTGTACTGTGGGGGTGAAACGGTGACATGGATGATGTGGATAGCAAGGGGTGCAAGAGCAAGTAGCTGCATGCTCGGATGAGGTTGTTAGTGTTGGGACTGAAAGGTAGGCAAACTGAGAGGTGTTTTGAAATGAGAGGGGAGGTAGGTGAAAATTCAGGACTACGTAAGCGCTAAAAACCAGGGAGAAAGACAACAAAGGATGGAAGATAAACATATATACATACATGCATATGCAAAAATATGTATGTAGGGGATGAGGATGGGGGCTGAGGTCAGTGGAAAAGGGAACCGTCTAGTGCTGGCGGGGAGAGGAAAAGCAGATGCTAGAGAGAAGCATGGATAGAAGGAATAGTAGCAGACTGGAAGGAAGGGAGAGGAGCAGGCACAGAGCTTGTAGATAGAGCCTGGGGTAAAAAAAAACCAAATCTGGAGTGTGAATTTAGTGGTGTTGGAATGTGGGCATGACCATAGTGTGGGGAGAAAATGAAAACTGAGCAAAGCTGAGGGAGGGGTATGTGGGTTTAGACTACTCAGGTGAGCAGATGAGGATGGAGCGAGAGCAGTGCAGGATGAGGCGCCGCTGTCTTAAAAGAGAGCTGGCGAGTCAGGAGTGGGCAAGTCAAAGCAATTGGGTTTGGGGGGAATCATGTTTGGGGAAGGGAAGAGTTTGTGCCTACTACTGCTACTACAGAGCTTAGCAGGATATCTACTAATGTCCAGCTAATTAGCTTGTACCTGCATAGGCATATCGGGGTATAGTACAGGGACACTCGTTTTTCTGTAAAGTTTCAAAATATGTATAAAATATAATGACATTTTCTTAAATGATGAATTTACAAGTAAATTTAAGAACATTAGGACACTGGGTTCAGGTCAAGTTCTCATCCTGAACAGTCTCAGTAAAAGAATAGTGTAAAATTAGCTCATATCACGCTGTTTAGAGGTATTGTTTAATTAAATAAATAAATGCTTTGGCAGGAATTATTTAAAGACTTTTTTGAAAAAAAATACTGCTCAAAGAACCATGGTGTTTCAAAATCATTGCCTTGTCTTTTGTTACCAGGGGGGGTATTTGTTGTCCTTAAATGCTGCAAAATGGCACTGCTGTCCCTCGTGTCCAAAGGGATAGAATCATTTGCGTGCTCGGAAGAGGAGCATGGTAATATATATCTATGTATAGAAAAAAGGAAATAGAGAGGAAAATTGAAGAAAAAAAATTCTTAAAGCTGTCCAGTTGATTTCAAGACTAAAAATTTATAATGATTTGATTAGTTTTGTAATAATTAAGAAGTTATTAATGTGGACATAGCATCAGAGATGGTTGATACCTTATTTTTATCACTTCACCTACTCATGATGTGCTGAACAGTATCACATGGGAATATCGTGGCATTGTCTTTCTAACAGTTACTGTTTAATTAAAAAAAAATAGCTTGCAGGATAAGTGTTTCTTCCTTGTTCCCCTGCAAATGTAGCATGGCTCCATTCTCTTACTCTTTCACCTCAAAAGAAGAATCAAAAAATCATATTGTTACTACTGAGGTGGATTTTTTCATTTTTCAAGTTAGCTGTTCTGAGCCACAGAGAGGAAATGTCTATTTTTTTTATTTTTTTTTTGTGTGTTCTGTAACTCACTTAAATCTCAGAGATTTACATTATCTCTACTGGCATCTCTGTGTGATGCCTTTCCCCTCTCTATTAAAATTTGAAAAGACCTGCAAAATATAAAGATCTTAGGATCTTGTAGAAAATGTTTGGAAATTCTGTATAATTTAAAGCACAAAGCAGTGTAAATAAAGGAGTTGCTGTTTCAAGTATGTTTCCAGTTAACATAGAAGCACTTAAGGATAAATAGTTTCTATGTATGTACAGCTAAATTTGTTTTTATCCTCTGCATAAAAGAAGGGCTGCTTCTTATCATAAAGGCTTTGTCTTTTTCTCATATTTACTGTGAATGAGCCATTTGCGCAGGGTGACATTAGAGCATCTGCCTAAAGCTTTCTGTCATCTGCAGAACTCTGGCTTTGTAAGGTGGCTGCTGTTTTCTTTCCATAAGGGATCCTGCCCATCGCTATTTGCCACAGAATTGAGGAGGTCACCTGACTGTCCGAAGTCTAAAAGGAATTAAATTTGAAAATACGGATAAAATGATCTTATTTTTTATTTTGTAGTTAATATTCTGTTTTAAAAGCCTATCTTTAAAGGGTTTCACAGTACTGAATAGCTTTTTAAACTTGTTTCAAGAGAGATCTACAAGGAAGAACTCCTCTTTAAGCTAAACCATCGAACTAAATAGCCACTGCTACAAACTTGATTCTGCAGTCAGCTGACATTCCTTCCTTGAATGTACACAGCTGTAAAATCACAGATCTATTGTACCTTTTTCATAAAGGTATTAATTGGAAAATAATTTGCATGGTATTTATTTGAGACTACCCCAGTGGTCACCAGTAAAACTGCTTTTATTGAAAGCTAAAAGTGGTGCAGTCTGGTACTGACCCGATTAAGTGATTCAAAGTCCTCAGTATCCTAAAAAAATTAAATCATTCTGCCTAAAGTAGGAATAAATGAATAAGTCAGAAGAACAACTTTCATACCTTAGTCATGAAATCAGCTTATTATATTTGGCAGTACACCGTTTGTATTAAAGTGTCTGCTTAACTCCAGATCTCATGTTTTTAACCAGTCACTTAATAATGAGCATCATACTTGTAACGAAAGGTTCATTTTATGTAACCTCAATCTCTGGTAAGAAGACTACGTTTAGTATTAAACTACGTTACTGGTATTAAACTGCAGTATATGCAGGCTTTGCTGAAATCATGCAGCTTGCATTAACCTTTTGCACTTTGGTCACAAAGGAATGAAAAATATGCCCTGAGGGATAAAAAGACAATAAAATACTGTCTATTTCAAGTACTTGTAATACTCGGAATGAATTGGTGTAACCACTAACCTTAGTGACCTAACTCCTGAGTTCGCATTTTGAATGGCACTTCAACAGCCTTTAGTAGCATTTGAAACTTGAAAGTAATTAACTGTTCTTTCAGCATGGCTAAGTAAATGCCTTAGGATGCTCTATAAAAGTTCCATTTCATGTCTTGGTTCACAAAACAGCCTAATGATTTAAATTGATGCTAAATCATTTTGAGTCAAGTCAGAACTGTTTCCAGACACGCTATCGCTGTGTGAAGCCATAGTTTATATACTTCAGGAACAATAATTTCAATAAAACTGCAGTATGTGTCTAACCGAAAGATGACATCAGTTTGCCATATATTGCTTTTGGCATAGAACAGTGTTTTCCCCAGTGATTTGACAATGTAAACAATATTCTTTTCTTTATGGGCTGGAATCTACTACAATACATTAAACTATTTTTATGTCTGTTGCAATCATTAATAATTAGTAGACATGTTTGGAGACATTCTGGATTATTGCCCACTGTACCACGCTCTTTATGATAGTAATCAATTAGTTCTGTTAAGATGAGAAGACATAATGCCAATGCCTGTGTTTGCTGTTTTGTGATGTCATATTTCAGCAATTACTAAAGAGACTGCACAGATTGAAGCTTATGTACAAGTGTACAGTGCTAATTAGAAACACCATCTATCTGAGGCATAGCTAATCTTTGGTGTACATAGTGCTATGCGAGTTGAATACTCTTGCTCTAAATGAAAAAAGGTAGCATTAACGTAGGATAATTACGTTTGTTAAAACAGCAATTCTAGTATTTCTCAGGAAATATTAATACTTATTTCCAGACTTCCTTTCTTCCTTGTGCTTCATTCTTTTATATTCTTTGCTTTAGCTCTGACTTCAAAGTCCTTGAGGAAACAATGGAATATATAAATTCTTTTCTGTTTGACTACCTATATCTTAACATGTTGGGAAATGGTTAGCAGAAGAGGATAAATCTGAAACTACAGCTTAGGGAAGACAGATGTTCTACGTTCATTACGTATTCTATGTAGCCTTAAGAAGGTGGCAGTGTTTGCTGATAGATATGTTAAGAATATTGGATCAAACAGTGCCTTATTACAGCAGCCTGGTTTCATTCTACATGAATATATTTAACCAATGGGAAGGTGAATTTTATGCAGATCTGATGCATGAAACAGCAGAGTAATTTCCTGGTTAATCAATAGGGAAAAAAAAAAAGAATTTGTTATTTACCTTTACAAAGGGATGATGTCTGCAAATTATTGCTGCAGTCTAATTTGAAATAAAATGTCCATCATGTAATAAATAAAAGTGGTTCTAAAATTTTGCTCACTCTTAAAATCTTTGTAATGCAAACTATCAGGAGATCGCACAGATGCTTGCTCTGTGAGACAGAGTACTGTTTCTGTGTGGTAGTTACCGAAAATAAGCCATTACGTGAAATAGAGTCAGAGTTGTAGTAAAGACTCAAGAATTCCCTCGGCTCTCATTTAGAAGCGCTTTCTGCTTAACCAGGATATAGGACTTGGAAAAATACTATATTTATTCTGCTTACATACAAGTCTGAAAATCTGAAGGCTGGATAGTGCGGTCTGTGAGAAATAATGAATAAAAAGTTAATTTTGTTTTCATGCAAAAAACCCACTGTTCTGCCTATGCCTAAGAATAGACTACAATATCAATTTTAGCTTAAAAATATTAGTTTTGAGTAGGATTTATATTTACATCCAGCAAGAACTGTATTTTGATAAGAAAACCTGAGATCATCTTCTGTTTTAAATTGGAAGTTAAAAGTTGCCATGTAATGTCTGGTGAATAGAATTGCAGTTGCACCTGGTTTGAAGTTACATGGTATAAAGCAAAAGCTTTGTGTTAAAATCTCCAAGTGCATGAGCAAAAGTTTGCACATTGCAGTTTATTGGAAATGTGTTTATCTGTAGTGATGATTTCTTCATATCCATATATTTATGCAGTCTTCAGCTCTAACGTAGTACAAACCCCATTGTATATTTGAATGTTTTAGAAGCAGGTAAAAAGCCAGTATAATCACTGCTGCTTTTTGTAACTTCTTGTGCTTCAGAGCCACCGGTTCCCATTGCTCCACCTCAGCTGTCCTCAGTCGGTGCAACTTACCTGTGGATACAGTTGAATGCCAATTCCATCAATGGCGATGGACCCATTATTCAAAGGGAAGTTGAGTATCGAACTTCAAGTGGAAGCTGGTATGACATACAACCTGTGGATTCCACGAGCTATAAGATTGGACACCTGGATCCTGACACAGAATATGAAATCAGTGTATTACTTACAAGACCAGGTGAAGGAGGAACTGGATCTCCTGGCCCAGCTCTCAAAACAAGAACAAAATGTGCTGGTGAGTACTCAAAAGTGAATGGAGAGTGGTAAGCATCTTTCTAGGGTTAGAAACGTAAGTTATTTCACTAGCAGTTTTTCCTGTCTAGTTTAAACCAGCAGGCTGCAGGAATTAATGCTGGATGCTTTTAAATATAAGCTATAAGCATTTGCCAGCTATGATGACCTTGAAACCAACCCTCAGTGCCACTGTAGATTGTAGATGAAATCATACCTGTGCGTGCCTTAAAGTGGTCGGTGTAGAGTGCTGTATAAATAAACAGTTTTTACTATCAGGCATGCACTGAGCTCTCTCCATTTCATTACGCCCCTCTGTTGTCAGTGTATGTTTGGGTGTCAGGTTAGTTCAGACTTTGTTTGGTTTGGATAGAGTTTCTTTTTTCCTTTTTTCCAAGTCAGGTATATCAAACTTGTAGATAAAGTGGAAAGAGATCCTGTGTAACAGCAAAAGTGTGCACTGTTAAGTCTCAATTAGCAGATGAGGTTTAGCAAAGGACTGCTTTTTTGAGTGACTGATAACATGTCTTTTCATTAAATGAGATAGTGCGATTTGTGGTGCTGTGTAGCAGTCTTGGCTACTCTTTTGGATGTTATAACTAATACTGTTGACCTCTGACTGTAAAAAGATACAAAGTAGACCTATTATACAAAAGCAATTGTACAGTAATTTTCAGGAAGAGTGGCAGTGATATTAATTTGGGATTCAGCTGCTCAGAAAATAATAGAGTATAGTGTGACCTGGATTTTTTTTTTTGTCATTAGTATTTTCCCCCAATATTTTGAATCTTCTTTCTGCTACTGTGAAGTTGGTGGAAGATAGGCAGAAGCGCACCTAGAGGAAATGGGACTAAGCAAATGGTATTAGCTTATTGATCCTAATCTTTTTGAGAATGGCTTGCTGTTATTTGGTTTTTTAAACAGGAAAAATTACATACTTCAACAGAAATAATGAGGTATTTCCTTTGCATACGCAAGTAAAATTACTTTTTTGTAAAGTCACCTAGCCACCTGTTAGTGGCTAAATGGCATTTCAGTTGATCTGATCAGTGTGTTTATAAACACAGAATGAAATACAGTTGCAGTCAGAATCCCAGTGTTAATCTTTTGGAGATGCAAACTTATACAAGTACTCTTTGATACTCTTTTTGATTTTTTTATTCCTCCTATTACTGGAAATAAGTATTTAATGAAAAATACCAAAAACCAGTACAGTTAAGCTATACTAATAGTTAAGTATTTGTATTTATGAGATTTTCTTTACTAAACTAAGACAACTTTAGCTGAGTCAAAAGTGAGGCATAAAATTCAAAGTTCCCTTCAGGAGGGTTTCTGGGGTACTGTGCCTTTCAAAATAATGTAAAATTACTGTCTAGACAAGGTAAGTGTGTATTTAGTGCACAAGTGCTTCATTATTTTTTTTTTAAATTAAAACAGTTTTTCTCATAGTTTGATCATCTGCTTATATGACTAGATAATGTAGCATTGGGTGCTGTGTACGTGAGCCTGTCTGTGCGAAAGGGTTAGATAGTGTGGTGGGTTGATGCCAGCCAGCAGCCAAGTCCCCACACAGCCATTCTCTCAGTCACCTCTGCCGCTGGACAGGGAGCAAATAGAAGGAAGGCAAGAAGATTCATGGATTGAAATGAAAACAGTTTAATAGGTGAAGCAAAAGCTGCGTTCCCAAGCAAAGTGAAATAAGGAATTTATTCACTATTTCCCATCAGCAGGCAGATGTTAGGCACTTCCTGGGAAGCAGGGTCTCGGCACACGTAAGGGTTACTTGAGAAGACAGAGGCCATAACAATGAACAGCCCCCTTCCTCCTCCTTTCCTTGAGCTTTGATTGCTGGCCATGACATCATATGGTGCGGAATATCCCTTTAGTCAGGTGGAGTCAGCTGTCCCCGCTTGTGTCCCCTCCCAGCCTCTTGTCCAGCTTCAGTCTACTTGCTGGCAGGGGCAGAGTGGGAAAAAGAGAAAGCCTTGAGGCTGTGCAAGCACTGCTCAATGACATTCGAAGCACTGGTGTGCTATCAACCTTGGTTTAGTCACAAATCCAAAACACAGCACCATACAGGCTGCAATGAAGGACATTATCTCCATCCTAGCCAGACCCCGTAGAGAGAGAAATTGGGAATTTTAGTTCTATTTAAGAACATTGTATGCTTTCTGGTCTTTTCAGTGGTACGTACTGTTGAGTGTTAAAACGTGCATTCGGTCTCATAAACCTCTATGTACTGGAAGTATTTTATTACCTGGTAATGTCTTGTAATACATCAGCATTATTTGTGTTTTCATTAAGCTAAACACTAACCCTCTCAAATTAAAAGCAGAAAGTGATGGCTGACTGAAAAATTTAAATTGAATGATGATATTAAATCTGTCTCTACAAATTGGCTTTTTTGTAGCAGAAGATCCAGCTTTGAAGGTGTAGTGGTTATTGGTTAACTGTTAGCAAGTGACATGCTAATAACTGGCCCACGGGCTTAAAAAGAGATGCTGATAAACTAATGACGGTGTAATTAAGCTGGGTAGGAGTAAAATAATGCCAGTCTCCAAAGCATACCATAGAATTAATAAAACAGGAGTCTTTAAGAGAAGAGTCATTGCACCTTTTTAATTACTGTGATAATTGTATGCTTCTTGGCTGTTCCCTAGGGGTCTTGTGAACCACTCGGAGAGCTGAAGCAGTGTGCAAGACATTCAATAATCTTAATAGTTCTCCAAAGCATTTGAAATATGTTTTCATTTTAGCAAAATGAGATTTCAGAGGCTTGTAATAGACAAGTCCTGTCTGTAACTTTAGTAAATAAAAGCATCTATAATTAGAATGCAAAGAAAAAATCTCTCCAGACTTGGCTGCATCACCCTCAGTGGAGCAGTTATATACTTTCTAAAGTGCTTTGCTTCTTTTTCATGAATTGTAATATAAGAGTAAGTGCTCTTTCAGTGTAATGTTCAGGAAGGCCGAGGAATTACATTCAGGTCTGGATTAGATTTAACCTAGAACGTGGAGTTCAGGTTTGAGAAAGAGGGATTTAATGGATTTTGGCTGTCGTGAACCACATTTGAGTCAGACTTAGAAAAAAGGTTTTTTCTCATTTCAAGGTCTGAAACCGAGGCCTCTGCAGATTGTCTGGAATTTGAATCACCAGTTGCTGTGCTCAAAGCTCCCTCTTCCCACAGCTGTGTTATGAACCTAGAAGAGTGCTGCCATTTAAAATAAAAGGGGGGCAGAGGAGACTGGAATAGAATTCATCATGAGATACATGACAGAACATTTCCATTATAAAGTATATCTCAAATTGCTCTAATGTACATTTTCACCCTGGTGCAGTTGTAAAGTAAGAATTCCAGAGTAGTCACCCACGATTAGAGTTATTTAGGGTCAGGATATCAGAATGCTTCAGACTTCAGACACTGTTATCAGAGGAATAAGACTGTTAGCTCAGTGTGAGGCTTGCAATGCCAGCCACTGCTGTAGAGACCTCAACCACCCAGCCATTGCTAGCAGCTACATAGCTGCACAAGTATTTGAACCAAAGAAATCACCTTGTATGTAAGCACAGAACCAACAGTGGCTCTGCCATATGGGATATAATAAGTTTGAGGATCTGAGAGTCAATGGTAATAAAAAACCCCTGTTATCCCTTACTGAAGTAGATTGGGAATCCTCTGGTGCCTGAAAAAGTCCAGAATCAAATCTTCTCTAAATCTAATCAAAACCCAGTGGAACTGCCCCTAGTAAAACCTAAGTAGGAATGTTGAAGGATTAATAAGGTAGACTATGCTTTGTAGTTTCCTCTTATCCATTTCCATATTTCTGTGAGTAGAATATTTCAGGGCTTTGCAACATGTTTTGTCTTTGACATGCATTGCACAATACAAATCTTGATCCCATGTGTCCCTGCACTCTGACGGTGAGGCAGCGCCCCAGTTAAAACAGTCTCCTGGAAAATCCAGAACTGCTAAATGAGCTCCTGCAATTTTTATTTTTTTTTTTGCTATGGCCTCTCTATTTATGAAGCTTTATTTCTAAACAGTGTTGTTTCTTGAATCTGCTGTTGAACAGATAGAGCTTAAAGCCAGCTACCTTGGGAAGAAAAAGTAAAATAAAATCCTCTCTCCTGCTAAGGGAGAGGATTTTTAAGACCTTCTAGGGAAAATTGTTGCCTTTTTCTCATCATGTTTCTTTTTCCACTGTGACATTTGGAATAATCCTAGAAAATTACCATCTCTTCCTTTTCTGAACCAGAAAACTCTATTGGAATTTAAGAAAATAAAAAATAAATAAAAAGACTGCCACGAAGGAAACTTCTGATGGACTATCCCCAAATTGCGATTTGTTTGGTTTTTTTTTTTTTTTTAACAGTCAGATCTCTGCTTCTCTGTGCTGACACAGTTATTGCCCGGGAGTATTTTCAAAAACAGTCACTGTCAATTTAACCAATGATTTTCCAGGCAGAGAGTTCACATGTTCCTCATACAAGGAAGTAACAGGAATGTTTTAATTAACATAGTTCATTTTGCTGTGTCTTCTGTCCCGTCACCTGAGCTTGTCAGGAGGAAAGCTGTTACTCCCAGTACAGCTGAGCTCTTGAATCACTGCTGCAGGTTAGTTGTAAACTGTTACTCCTAGAAGGCTTCGTTACAATCTGGAAGAGCAGAGCAGAGGAACTCTTTAAGTCCCCACTCTTAAAGATTATTATTTTTCATTTTATTCATTTTTCTCACCGCTTTGGCTTCAGCTGGGTAATTTTACAAGGTGTGAAATTTGGTTCTGTGCTGCCCACTGGCATACACTGACATTGTGAAAAAATCTACGTGTGCCAAAAGATGGAATGAACATCCTCTTCCCTCTGATCAATTAAGACCTCATCTCCTGTTAGCAGATCCTGAAAATGATCAGCTGTGGACCAGAGCAACAACCCTATTTTTACTTGGGAATGTTAACTAAGTTCCTTGTTTTGTCCTTTTCATTGCTAAAAGGGGTGCATAATTT